CCCACAAGTCTTCTCATTTCGGCATGAAATTGGTGGTGAAGATTTTTATTCCCTTAAAGGAGATGTTGCAGTTTGTAAAGTAGCTCTGTACAGTTTTTCAAATAAACTTTTCCAGAGCACAATAGCATATTAGAGCCTAAAATGACCCTAATGAAAGGGAAGACAATGCTCTTTCCTTGCGAGACTCGTTAGTGTCGAGAGGAGCGCCACTTCCCATCTCTACCACCGTTTTCTCTCCTGCTGTCGTAGGCATGGCTCCAGGTATCGTGGTTTCGGTCTTCATAAAAGAAGTCTTCCCGGCTGCCTCGGTACCGGTCGGAGGCATGATCACTGTAACACTGTTCCCAGCTATACTGCCTGTCCACTACATAGGGATGAGAATTCTGTCGGGCTTTGCGTTGTGACGATGATGCATCTTGGCGCCACTGGGAGCTTGGAGACTGGTTAAAAGATGAACTGGGTGACTGAGCTGCAGGGGAGAATCCTGACTGATCCAGCTGTGTAGAACCAAACTTCCCGCTATATGATACGTGCCTGAAAGCACTGTTCATCTGAGGGGGAAAAGAAAAAACGGTTAATCAGAGATACAATAATAGACAAGCAAGAGAGTGTTTGCCTACATGAAACCTAAACTAAATGAGAAGCAGCATTTTAAAATATCTTTGGTCATTTCAATGTATAGTACAAGGTTATCAGTACATAAATATATTGCTTGCCCTCAACTCAAGAGTAGTTATATAAAATACAATATAAACCACTGAATGATGAACATATAAAGAACAGGAACTCAGTAGCACTAGGAATGGATTCATGAATGGACAGAATGTTTTAAGGAAAATATTTTAAGGGGGAGAAATGCCAAAGGAAAACTGCACAAAAATAATAGAGACAGCCAAAACAGAGTTATCAAGTAATGCTGGCTGGTACAGGTTATATATCTTACAAATCGTATCTAATGGAAGGTGAGGCCAGAAAGGTTCAGTGGAGTCAGACTACTGAGCATTAAACAACATAAGTAAAACGTGAGAGATTAGTGGCACACAGGATTTGATGTGCTTGGCTGCGAACCAAAAGGTCAGTGGTTTAAACCACCAGCCTCTCTTTGGAAGAAAAGATGCAGGAGTCTTCCATAAAGATACACAACCTCCACAACCCACAGGTGTGCTTCTACTCATCCCCTAGGGTCACTCTGAGTTGGCTTGGTATAAAATGTAGACGTCCCTTTATTCTGGTCTTTCAACTTCCTTTATTTCATTTTAACATTCTGAGAAATGCAAAAGCCGGAGGAATACTAGCCAAGACCCTAGGTTAAGTCGAGAAAATGAAAAGGAAGAAATGAATGCAAAAGAACTACTGCAGAGCAAGAGAGAAGAGCCTGGCAACTGACTGTGGAGCAGGATGGACAGTGGAAGGCAGCCGCAGCGCTAAGCACAGCTGCAAAGTGCATCCTTACAAGGACGGAACACAGTAAGTTTCTAGTGCGCGCGCACACACACACACTGAAAAGGAAAAAGAAAACGTGAAATGAAGTTCACCTTTTATTTACCTTGAATGCTTTAAATATATATTCCAGCTCAGTGAAAATTAAAACGTGGTTAAAATTCAACAAGTTCACAGAATAATTCAGTTCATTAGAAAAGGTAATTTGTTCCTTAAAAACAACAGTTGTCTGATAACACTTTAACTAGTATGATTTCTTAGCAACTCAAGTTGAATAGTCAGCCTACCATTGCTTGTCTCTGAAAATTCTCTGGAGAAGAGAAAGACCGCTGAATTGTCTGCACTGACAGAGCCACGTTATCCATAGGCCTTTCATATCTGCTAAAAGTAAGAAAACCAACAGATTTTATCTCCCATTCATTCAGCAAATACTTACCAAAATCCAATTGTAAGCAAGACCCAGTTCCCAGAACACAGAACAAATTAGACAAGTTACAAGGTCCCTAACTCCAAAGGACACAGACAAAATAATCCTGCATGGTTATAAATGCTGGTGTATGAAATGATAAAAAGCAACAGAAGCTTAAAGGAAAGAGGGGCTCTGTTTCAGCTTGGATGGTCAGCAATGGCCTTTCTAAAAAGGAAACATGAAGTGAGACCTGAAAAATGGATTATCTAGAGGTAGCATAGTCCAGGCTGAGGAACAAGTTAGTGCAAGGGTGCATAAACTACTGCCTATAAGCCAAATTTAGCCGGCTATGTGTTTTTGTAAAGAGTTTTGTTGGAAAACAAGCATGTTTTGGTTACATATTATCTGTGATAAGTTTAGCTCTGGACAGTAGAGTTAAATAGATTACATGACCTATAAAGTCTGAACTAGTCGCTGCTGACAGGCTCTTTATGGAAAAAACAAAACAAAACTGCCAATCTTTTGACTAGTGCAAAGGGCTGGTTCTCACTGCCATCAAGTCAATTCTGACTCCCAGTGACTTGAGGGCAGGGAAGAACAGCTCCTTTGGGATTCTGAGAGCCTAAATGTTTTATGGGAGCAGAGAGCCTTTTCCTTCTCCTGGGGAGTCATGGGTGGGTTCCAACTGCTAGCCTGTGGCTAGCGATTCAATGCACAGCCCATTCAAAGCCCAAATAGAAGCGATTTTCTGGATTAAATATGAGGGATGAGGCAAAGGAGATTATAGGATAAAATTCCTATTTTGAGGGGTGAGTAGCTGGTGATTCCACGTATTGAGCCAAGAAAGAGGTACAGGCATTGGAACTTAGGGAACTAATTTTGTATGATACATAGAATATTGATCTTAAAGCTTTATACCTTATTCCTCATTCCTCTAGGCGGTATCTTGCGCTACAGTTTTGTTTTTTTACTTATGAAGTACTTTAACGGGTTAATGTTAATTTAAAATATACTTGGAAATAAAATTTGACTTAAGTTTATATCTTTTTCTAGAGCAAGTATTTTATCACCTATGCTAGTATAATAGTACTATGTATAACATTAAATGATGTATTTTAATAGTAATGTATTAATAGTACTGTGGCTATTCGTTCCAGGGGTAAATTTGTCCCTAGTAGAATGTCATTCTCTCCAAAGCACGTAAAATCACTAAATTAAATAATTTTAATTAAATAAAGTACCTCTTCTAATCCTTTGTAGCTGTTAGAAATCTTACAGATCATTTAATCTGACTTCTTGCCATAATTTATACACCTGGTGGTAGAGTAGGTTACTCACGGGACTGCTTTCTGCTCCTGTAAAGCTTTGCAGCACAGGAAATACCCTTCCAATAGTGCTTTAAAACACACACTGTTGCTAAAACTACGCTTCATTCGACCTCAGTGTCTTCCTATAGTCCTTAGGGTAAAATGGCGGTGTCGATTAAGGCACAGCATCACCTGGCCTCTATGTATGTCTGCTATTTCCATTATGTCCTGAGTCCACTGGCCTCCTTCAGTTCCACATCCATCTACTTTAGCTCTCCCGTTGAAACTTTCTCAAAGTACTCACTCTACTCCGTCGGAGAACTTACATTGATTTAAGCAGTAGTCCAGGTACCTGTGTCTTCATTTAAACTCTAAGCTCCACTAGACAATATATGAACAGTTTGTGGGAAACCGATCTTTTCACTCCATTCTCGTGACTGGGCTCTATCACAATGATTGGGTTTGAATCCTATAACTACTGCTTAACAGTCATTGTTCACATATAAGACAGAAGGCAATAATCCCTACCTCATAAGACTTAGCAAAGAGGCTGATAATCACATGGCAGATGCTTAGTAATGTATCTTTCGTAAGTGATGCCCAGTGATAGTACTGTGCTAATACAGGGGTAGATCTTTCCCTGGTAAAATACTATCCTCTCTAAAGCAAAAAAAGATTACTTAGGGAATTAAGTACCGTTTTCTAACTCTCTTTAGCTGGAAGGAACTTTAAGATTAATTCAGCTTCTTGTCCTTATAAACAAAAGAATAGGATCAGAGAAATACAACCAGTTCAAGATGATTACACAATCAATTACACAGGCAGACCTAGAATGTAATTCTACAAACTCTTGGTCCAGTCGTCTGTCTACTAGTAAGAATTTTTAAGCCACAAATAACAGCTGACTAGTGGTTATGAAATTAATTTAACTTTTTAGAAAATGAAACAAAATAGAGTACGCTAGTGTGTAGTCTACTTAATTAAGGGCCTGTAATGTTTTGAGAAACTTTGTTTCTCAATACAGCTGTCAGCCGCTCAGGTGGTGTAGTGGATTACATAGTCCCTTGCTCAGGTGGTGCTAACTCTTCGAAAAATTTCAAGTTTCAGAAACCCAAAGAGGCAGTTAGTTTTATTCTATCAACAGGGTCACTATTCAATCATACTTTAAATCAGTGGCAGTGAGCCTGAACTTTCTAAAAATCATGAACGGGCACGCATATCTCCTCACATATTAAAATGGTTTAACACAGTTATATAACACATAGTTTCCGTCTAGGCTGCCTTGGAATAGACGCGCATGGAACGACCATCCAATGTGAAGAGGCGGAGGAGCAGAAAGGGAAACTAGGCACTCACTATGCACACTGAGATCACCACACATAAGAACACCCTGACACTGACAGTGGGCAGTGATAACGCTTACCTGCTGGGAGAAGCAGAAGTTGGGCTGGAATTCCCAGCATGATGCTGGGAATGTGACACACAGACATCCTGGGAAGCATGGCTACTTCCTAAAAGGAAACGTTCTTGATAAGAGATTTTACCTGAAAACTCATCTCCCCAACCCTCCACCCTAAACCACTCCAACACATAAGACATAAGCTGACACACAACCACTACTTTGCAGTTTCATCTGCAAATGACACATGCACAGTACCGGGTATCAAAAACAAAGCTAGGCAAACAAAGCGCTAGACGGGGTAAATACATGCAATTAGACTGGGCCACTCTGGTCTTTTGTTCAGACCAGGTGCCTGGCAAGTTTCGTGACAGCACATTCAAGAAGCAAAATTTGTAAAAGCAGCCAGGAAAACACTTTCAGAAAATAGTCCTGACCCTTTCAGGGAGTGGACTGGAAACAAAGTCTTTTGAATACTATCCTTATCATTAACCCAAGGTGAAGTTTTAAACTTTTTTCTTAATTATATTGTTTATAATCCTCTTTGTCAATGTTATTAACTTTCATGGAAACAAAGTTGACTATCCAGCAAAGCTAGGGAGAGCATTTCTACGCCCCAAGAAGTTTTAAAACGAACAATGAAACTCAAACCAAATAAGCGAACATGATTGGCTCATTACCTGATCTAAACTGAATTTTGATTGGCCTTCCAAAAAGCTTGATCCCGTTAAGCAGATTCATGGCATAAGGAACAGATATTTCGTGTTTGAAGTTGACAAATGCAAATTGCTTTGGTTTACCATCCTTATCTTTAGGGATTTTTACTTTTGTTACTGGTCCAGCCTACAAAGTCAAAACATTTTCGGATTAAACTGAGAAAGAGCAGAAAAGTGCTCGATGTTTTCGAATGAATTAGTCAACAAAATCTCATCACCAGAAACGCATCAGGAACTTAAAACAAGAGGGCGGGGCAAGCCTCGGATCCATAGATTTCTATCTTGGTTCAAGGGAAGTCCCACAGCGATGGCTGATTTATGTATTTGGGGAGGGGGACTCACAAGATCCTGTGGAATTTACAGTTCGAAGTACGTGTGACTTTAAGATGTTAATCATAGAGCATTTTCCTACCACAAGACAATTTTCGTGGTTTCAAGAGAGAGAAAAAGCGTTTCTCTAGGGCTAAAACTCGAGTTGGTATCGCTCAGATCACACACTGATCAGGAATGAGGTAGGGGTGGGAGTAGAGGAGACTTGTGACTTTTTAGCACACGTGACTTAGGGATTAGACTATAGCACCACTTCAATGGCCTTTACTACGGAGTTTGGGGGGCAGCCTACTGAACCTACGTGAACAACGCTACAGTTTCCTACAGAACTTACGTGAGAAGCAGCTGGTGACGGACCCAGAAGTTTCAGTATAACCTACCAGTGAGTTCTGACAGAGATTACGCTTGGGGGGCAGAGGACAACACTGTGCCGACCTCTGAGCACTCACACGCTGAGACACTGGTCCCCACTCCGCGAACGCCCGAAAGACCCGTCCTCCCTAAGCGCTCCTCGTCGCCTCTGGCCGGCACAAACAAGGGTGACTCCAGAGCCCGGCTTTCAGAGCGCGACCGCGCCCCTCAAAGAGCCGCCTACCCGTCCGCCGCACGGGACCTCTCGGAAAGCACCGCGGGCAGTCGGGCCGGGCCCGACGCGAGCCAGAAAGCGGGCCGATTCCGTCGCTTACCTGGAGGAAAAGCTCGAAAAGGAGTTCCTCTGTCACTTTGGTCTCAAGGTTGCCCACGAAGAGAGTGCAGTCCGCTTCCGCCGCCGCAGCACCCATCTCCGCGCCCTCGCCGCCCCGCGGAAGAGACCCGAGGGTGGCGGCCGATGACTCGCACTGCGCACTCTCGGAAGTTCTGCGTCCTCCCGCTTCCAGGCGTCGCGTGGTTCTGACGTCATCACGCGCGCGCCCGGCGCAAGCTGACGTTCGCGGACGGCTTACGCAAGCTCTCGCGAGGAGAACGTTCCTTAAAGGGGTTTCGCGACCGGTAGCGGCCTTAGGAATGGCTTCCGGAGCCGTTTGGCTGCGGGCCGGAGTCGCCCTGGACTGATCTGTGCGGCTGCCAAGGGCTTGAGGTGATCAAGGGGCGAGCGCAGAGCCTGCGGACAGTGTTTGAAGATGGCTCTGAACGCGATGTCCCTGTCCGCCGGCGACCAAGGGTCCAGGATGGCCCCCCACTCCACTCTGGGCGACCTCCGCCCGCCGGCCTTTGCGTTGGCCATGGTGTCCGGGGACAGCGTCTTCATGAGCAGGCCGGGGGCGGCTCCCCCTGGACCGGCGCCTCGGCAGACGGGGCGGCCGAGCGCCCGCCCGGAGGGCCGTCGGGTAACTGGTGGCGGTCGGAGCCCTACCCGCCTCATAAAGGGCAGGGAGCCGGAGGGCCGGAGCAGAAGCCGCCAGGCCAGATTCTCGCCTTACCCTGCGCCCGGGGTTAAGCTCGATCTCTTACGGAGTGTGCTGCAACAGCGCCTGGTAGCATTTGGGGGTGTCGTGGCTGCCCGAGTCTCGGCTTAAAACGAATGTCACCCTCCCGCCCCACTCCCCCTTGAGCAGCTTAGGAACAAGGCCTTTCCAAAAACTCGTTCTTGGTGCAATCGCAGTCTTCTTTTTAGATGTGTTTTCATTTGACTACCAAAATCCCAGGGGTTCTGTGGACAGCCCATTGTTTGAGCCGCCAGAATGATTAGCTCGGGAATAGATTATTTATTTATTTATTATTTTTTTACTGCCATACAATTGACTCCAACTCAACCTATAGGACAGAGTAGAACAGCCCGCTATGTTCCTGACCTACGGAGCCAGATAGCCACGTCTTTCTCCCAAGAGCTCCGGGTGGGTTGGAACTCCTTACTGACGTTGCGGTTAGCAGCCCCATGGGCATAATCCACTAGGAAAGGATGGGATTATTCTTAAGTAGTCACAAACTGATCTTCGATGGCCACCCTCCTAAACGCCAACAATTCTCTTATACTTCCTATATCACCCATACTTCACTGACGCCCATAAGGCGTACCTTTCCACTACCTGATTCTCATACTTTGACACTTAAAATTCAAGGTTCCTAACTGCCCCCACTCAGATTTTTGTCCTCTTTGCTTTTGGTGGTGAAAGTTGTTGCATCACTTACTCTTCTGTCACTCTTCCATCTGTCCGGCAACAAAGGAATAAAGCTACAGACAAGCTCTCTGACCATAACCACTTTCTAAAGAAAACTGAAACCCAAATTTCTTTCATCATAAACCAACACACATTCCTTTTGTTGCCAACGGCTAAGGATGAATTTTGAACACAAGTTGTCATTTTATTATTCACATTCCCTTCCAGTGTCTCATTCCCTGCTGTCTGCAAACACACGGGTGGATGCCTAGCCCTCGGGTCCCCGCCATGAAGCTGCTTGTTCACTGAGGCATCTTCCTGGAAATGCACTCCTCTCTACTCCTCTGCTCAGTATTTGAGCAAGAATCTTCACTGTGCTCATCCAGTGGATGAGCTTCCTGCCTTTCAGGAGGAAATGAAATGAGGCGACTACAGCCCCCTTCCTCCTCTGTTCAGCAGCTGCAGCCTTAAGAATAGCTGCTGGTTACCGTTGCTTTCCATAATGTACATCCTTGGTGCTTTCCTTAACTGGCTTGATATTTCTGTTTTCTTAACTGTCTACATCAGCGATTTTCAACCTGTGGGGCTCGACCCTTTTGGGGGTCGCTTAAGACCATTGGAAATCATACATATTTAACAATATACAGTTACATATTTTGTGATGAATCACTCTGCTTTAATTATATTTAATTATGTTCAATTTGTAATAATGAAAATATATCCTGCATATCAGATATTTACATTACAATTCATAACATTAGCAAAATTACAGTTATGAAGTAGCAACGAAAATACTTTTATGGTTGGGGTTCACCACAACATGAGGAAACTGTATTAAGGGGTCACAGCATTAGGAAGGTTGAGAACCACTGATCTAACTGCATACATCTCCCAAAGATTGAGGGATGCTTTTAGGGACAAGGTCTTGTAAGTACGAAGTTATGTGAGCAGGTAGACTAAAACTTTTTGCTCAATGGGCCCAGTTAGACTTTCTTAAAATAATTATGTGTGCAGACAAAATTGCCACATACTACACAGGCTTGAATTGTTAGAGCCATATCTTAGGAAGAATGGTGATAAACCAGAGAATTTGCATACACATGAATATAGTGAGAGATCTTGAGTCCAGGTCATAGAAAGAATGTGAGAATAATAGCTACCTTTGACTGAATGCTCTGCACCACACCATGCCCTAAGAACTTTTTAGTACTTTTTTTTGCAATTAGTTATAGAGGACTGAACTTTGTGCATGGTACTGTGCCAAGCCCTGACAATAAAGGAGAAAACGAGGTACATTCCACTGTAATGGAGATTTATAGATCTCATTTAATTCTTATAATAGCCTATAGAGAGAGCTTGCAAGTGCACCTCGACTGCTAGCCAAAAGGTTGAAGTTCAGGTTTACCTAGTGGTAACGTGGGGGGAAATGCCTGCTGATGCATTTCTGAAAATGCAGCCATTGAAAACCCATGGAGCACAGTTCTACCCTAACACCTGGGGTGCTACCAGGCAATGGAATCACCGCAACTTTAACAATATATTTTATTTTACTGCTGAGGAAACTGGAACCTGAGGAGATGAAATGTAATTTTCCAAAATCACACTGTTAGTAAATGGTAGAGCCTTGCCACCCTTTAACCAAGCTTTCTTATCTGAGTCACACAACACAGGCAAAAATTACTTGAGTAACAATTGTCTTAATTCCCC